TGGTTAAAAGAAAACCAAGAAAAAAAATCATATGAATTACTTTATGGTTTTAAGGAAACAATGCTAATGTCGGCCAATTGTCTAGTTGTCTACAAATAGGTCAAAATCGTGAAGCGACACAAAAATCTCTCCAAACCGCATATTGAATGTCGGAACTACGCAGTCTGTGTTGGCTTTCATATTTCGATCCCTCCCTATAAATCTCTCAAATTCACACAACTTCCTCTTCCACTACCTTTCCTTTCTCTAAAAATTTCTCCTCTCTCTACTAACCCCAGAAAAAAAAGCCAGCCCTCTCCTCTCACCCTTCTCCCATAGTATTCCTTCCAAAAAAAATCCCATCATACATTTCTACACCAAAAATTTAAAAATAAATTTAAGAAGGATGGGAGCATGTACAAGCAAGCCTAAAGTGTTGAAGGGTGATGTGCCTGAGGAGAAGGTCAAGGCTCCCGAGCCAGCACCCAAGAAGGTGGTGGTAGAGGAGGAGGAGAAGAAGGACGACGCCGTGGAGAAGGCGGCCGCGGTGGTGGTGGAAGAAGAGGTAAAGAAAGATGAAGATGTAGCCGCTGCTGCTGGTGATGAGAAAGTTACCAGGAGCCGTTCTCTTGGTAACTTGTTTAAGGAGGTATGTTTTCATGAAAATTATAACGTTAATGCAGCTATATAATGCCTGTGTATAATTTTACCATGCAAACATGGTTTTTTTATTTTTTTTATTTAATTGTGTAGCCATTAATGTAGAGTCAGAAAAAAAGAACTTGACAATTACGTCAAAAGGTGAAAAAAAAAATCATGTTTGTATCTTTTTAATTTAAATTCTTCTGATTATATTTTGTACAATGGAAATTTTAATGTCACATATGAATGAATTTAGCACCTCTAAAGACTCTAATGTTATTTTGAAAAATTATACATGTATACTGAATTTCGAAAGAAATCCACGTTTCGAAATTATGTTTTTCATGTCTCTTTGTCTTTTAAGTTTTGTTCGAATAAGAGATATCGAATTTTCCTTTCTTTTTCTTTGATTTTTGAAAAACCATGGAAAAGTCGACAATTGATTGTAGGGGAAATGGAAGATGTGGGTTATTTTAAATTTCTATTTCTCAGCAATTTAATGTATGGAGACTTTAATCTTTCTTTTCCCTTCGTACAAATTGAGAGGTAAAAATACATTTAACCCGTTGGCTTTATTACCTCTTCTTTGTCTGCTAAATTTAGTAAGTAAATGCCTTTACAATCAAGAATTTTAAATTTTATCTACTTACTCTATTAAAGTTTGGAAGATTTTTTTCCCGCGTTAATACATATCCTTTCCTATTTTGGCGGTGGAAAATTAGATGTCCTTTTTTCCCCCAAAGCCATAGAAAATACACATAAATCTAGTTAGTATACAACCAATTGCATGTTAAGGCTGCAAACAAGTCGAGTCGAGTCGAGATTTGGGCTAATCGAGCCAAGTCTCGACTAAATTTTATCAAGCTTGAACTCAAACTCAAGCTCGACGAGCCGGCAATTTAAAGCTCGAGCTCGAAAAAAATAAAAAAAATAATATTTTTTTCTTAATAAATAATAAAATATTAATGATATATATGTAATTTTACTATTAAAATAAGAAAATAAAAAAAATATATACTTAAAATAATATATATATACTTAAAATAACAAAAATAAAAAATATTATATATATATATATATACTCTAGCTCGCGAGCCTAACGAGCTTAATATTTTGAACTCAAGTTCGTGTTCGATTTCGACTCGAGCCAGCTCGAGCTCCACTCGAGCTTGACACGAGCGGCTCGATTCGTTCATAACCCTGTTGCACATGATTAGACTAGCACAGCCAATTTCTTTCTTTTTTTTTTTTTGCTTTTAGTTTCATTAGACTAATAATTGATATACTTCGGTAATTATTACCTTTGATAGTGCGTTGGTCGACTACCTTTTATCTCAGAGGATACCAATTGGTTTTCATGACCTTTTTCCTATTGTGGTTATGCCACAATTTCTTGGAATTTGAACCTAATCATTTCATTAGGATAGTGTAATTATTTGATTAATAATGGCTAAACGACTATTATTCACAGAAAATGGCTCTTAAGGTCTTTTAAGATTTTTTTGCATTTCAAGTTTAGGGTTCAAATTTTACGCCTTGAAAAATAATAATAGGGAACGGATGGAAAGGATTAGAACAAAAATGACCATCATTCAAGGTGGCCCATCTATTTCTTTAGCCTTTGTTGAATGGTCTGAGATTCTGTCTGGTTCATGCGCCTTTACCCAAAGACTCTCAATTTCTCAAACATCCAACTTGATTTTGCAACTTTATCACTGTAAATTGCTTCTTTTTCGTTGTTTGGCTATGGCCCATCAATTTTTTTAATCTACACATAACTATTAATTCCAAGAATCCTTTTGATCTGTAAAATCTTGATTGATAAGTTCCTGTTTAAGCAATATGTTACTTGCATACATCTTCATACGTATGAAATCATTAGACTATCTCATACTTCCATAATTTTTTCTGAAAATTGGAGTAATTGCCAAGCAATATACTACAAGTTCTTCAAAGTGTCAAAAAAATCTGTTTGGATTGGTCATTTTTTCAAAAACAAGTTTTTTAAATACAATACTATAAAAAAACATCTCATCCATACAATATATCAAATACTTCAAAAAAAGTTTATGGTAAAAATGTTTCAAATACACTGTTACAATAAAATTTTTCAAAAACACCCCCAAAAACAGCTAATCCAAACGGAGAAATTTTCTACCTTTTTTTGTGGGCAAAGTTTGATTAGCCTATTTTTACTATCGGGTCTTTCTAAAATTCAATAAACATGATTAATACCATGAGATCACAATATATAATAGTAGGATTTTTCATTACTCAATATGTGTAATAGTTTTTTTTTTTTAAAATTTTTGATGGTAAGATATTCATTCCCCCTTTACAAGATCACGGAGAATTTTCTGTACTGAAAGGAATGCTACTAGGACCCACTATTGGTCTCTTCTCCTTTGTTGCCCAATGAATATTCACTTGTGAAAAGAATTAATGTTCCTAGGATTATCTGTCTTTTGTTGCTTTATTTCCCTTAATGTTCCCTATGTCTTTGGCCATGTTGGACAGATCCTATTTGTCTTGTTTCTAATTTTGAGTAATTTCAAGATCCCACTTGGTCAATTCTTCAATAGCAAAAGTACAATTCATCCACTTACATTCCATAGTACATATAAAAAAACATTAAAGATTTTTTGGCTAAATTTTTGTACATAAGAATAGTATTAGGACAATTGCGCTTGGAATAATAATTAATAAATGGAATTTGAAAATTTTCTTGTAACTCTGAAATTTTATTTGCAGAACCAAGAGAGGAAAGATTCATCTGAGAATGAAGCTGTAAAAGAATCAGTTGGGTCTGAAGTGGAGCCAGCAGAAGCTGAAACAGTCAAAGAGGTCCAGCCCGAGGAGGTAAAACCAGCTGCAACAGAGCAAGTTGCTGCTTCAGTGGTTGATGCCGCTGAAAAGGAGGTCCAACCTGAGGAGGTAAAACCAACTGCAGAGGCCAAAGATGCTGTAAGATCAGATGAGACGCCTGAAGAGAAATCTGAAAAATCAGAGGAGAAGAAACAAGAAGAATCTCAACCTGCTACCGTGACAGGAAAGGATGAGATGTGAAATGGAGCAGTCTGCTGTTGTGATGAATGTTAGAATATGATTAGGAAAGCCTTGATGAAAAGTACTTCAAGGTAACAGGATAAAACAATGAATGTTTTTCGGAGTTTGTGGTGGAAAATAGTTTTGCTCAATGAACCTCATTTTCATTTTACTTTTCTGATGCAAGTTTTTGTGAATGTTCTTCGCTGTGATTGCAACTTGAAGATACTGTGGGATTAGAGATTTGTTCTCCCTGGTTACCGACTAAGCAGCCATAAACCCCAACTTTCTTTCCAGTAACGCGGCATTTTCGGGGACTAGCCTCCTTCCTTTTCCTCATGCTGACAATGAGGTTTCCCTATTTTTCTTATGTTAAACCCAAGAATACATAAGACCAAGGTGTTAAGAGTAAAATAATAAGTCCAATCTGGTAGGTAGCGAATTGATATCCAAGAATTTTAGCAGACTCAGAGTGTTTTCTCTGACCTCATCGATAAGATTTCTACATAACTTCTAGTTAGGCCAGAGTGAGGAGGGATTAAATCTTAAAAGCTGCTGTTTATCCCTCACTACCTAAGATGTATTTCAAGAAATAATCAGGGGTTTTCCTTTTCTTCCATACATAAGTCAGAGTTGATAAAAGTTTAAGAGGCATCGATAAGGATAACTTTGTGGCCTTCAATGAGATTTTGTAGCTCAGTGCTTGAGCTGAAAGAAGGAAGAACGCAAAAGCCAAACACCTAAGGCAATTGTGCAAGTTCCACAATCAAGAGCAATTATAAGTCTTCAGGATGGTTTACATTGAGAAGCTAAGAAATGTGCTGATAAGTGGCTCTTCATCTTTCGAATAACAGAAGCAGAATTCAGACCCGTTTGCTTACTGTTTTAACCATGGTTCGCCATCGCGGGTCGTGGTCGCGTCACGGTCTCAGTTGTTCCACATCCGTCGCGGCATATCGGTTGAATATCGGGTGATATGAACATTATAACACATTAAAGTTTCCAAAAATTTTGAAAAAATTACTAAAATTAGAAAATACTGAAAAAGACGCAATTTAAAAAAATATCGGAGTCGACTCGGAGTTGACTCGGATATATCGACTGATATCATGTATCACGGATTCAAATCGGTCAATATCGGCCGAGTCAGAGCGAGTCGTCGCAAATATGGTAATATCCGCGATTCGGGGATCGATATCGTACCGGTCCCTTCCGTTCCAAATACGACTCAGCCGATACGTATCGGTATCGGCCGATATGGCAAACCATGGTTTTAACAGAAAATGCTAAGACAAAAAGAGGAAAAAGAGAAGGATACAGTGGCTCAGCAATATTCAATCAATTCTTGGCAATGATGACTGAGCTTGTAAAACATGTTCATGCTTAAATTGTTGATGAACCCCATTTGTTAGATAATCAGTGCACTGCCCGGGGACAATGGGAGGAGCAGCCTGGCTACCATCAGTTACTTCATCCCTCCTGCTTTCAGTTTCTCCATCTTGAGATGCAGTTGCCTCCTTGCCTTTTCCCCAGATCACAAAGCAAAGGCCTATTGTGATGATAATGGATCCTATCAAGCTGTTATACAAGATTATCGAGGTTTAATTCAAGTCGGATATAACAGTTTGATTAAAACATAAAAATGTTTCAATGGAAAGATAGATGTGCTATAGATCATAACCTTCCCAAACACAGCTCCTCTTTTAGAAAGAGGGATCCAGCAAGGGCAGTGAATACTAGTCCCAAAGGACTGAAAGAAGACACGAATAAAGGGCCTTTCATCATTGAGCTCCAGAAAACTGCGGCCACACATAGTCCAGAACTGACAATTCCCTGCCAGAAAGATTGTACAATGAAGATTTCAGAAAGATTTCAGGTGACAAACAGTAAGACGAATTGACATTCGAAAGCCATTGCTTGCTAAGGCAGCAATACCAAAGCCATTATTGAAATGTTAGGTTATTCAAGTATGTATTTTATGACAGTGACAATCAAGTGCCTCATCAAGAAGCTTCAAAACTAGAAACCATACCAAATAAGCAACAGCTAGGAGTCTACAATCCCATCCAAGCATCCATGAAGACAATTCCCTCTCAGTACATATTGCAAGAACACCAGTCAGGATTGATCCAGTGAAACACATCACTGCAGTACTTGAATAGCATGGGTAACTATGGCTCATCTTAGTCTAATCACAATAGGAAAAGCCTTGCAGTTAGAGATGTTTTAGCTGATGAATTATTGTGCTCTATGTAATTGGAGCATAATTACCTGAATAACTAACCAAATTGCAAATGACAAACAACTCAATAAGGCCAGCAAAGAGCCTACGACATTATTAGATGGAACTGATGCATGATTGTGGAGAGGAATTATGTCAACATGCTGTGACAATATTTTGATCTTCTTCCCTTTAACAAAAGTCAGAATCATTGCTCCACCACTGCCCAAGACAGTCCCAAGAACTTTGGCTTTTCCAGCAGAGTTTCTAACATCCAATTTCTCCAACCTAAGGATTAATGATGAATAGGTGATTGTGATATTATCTTGTTAACCATAGCAGAAGAAGGATCCACATATTTGAAATTCAATTATGATCAATCTCAACACTTTTATAAGATATTACTCTGTAAAGCTCAGTTAGTGCATATTTGAATTCTGACTAACTTCCCTATGAGTTGCTGTGAAGAGTTCACTTAAAAAGTTTTATATCTCTGGCTGAGAAAATGGTAAGGAATGAGACTTTACTAGGGTTCTGAAATTAAATAAAACATTGAGATCTTCAATTCACGTTCTATTTGAATGGGTTCCAAAAGCTATATACTGCCACTTCAAACGCTATGAGAGAAAACTAATCAAGAGCTTATATATGCAGAACCTGGCAGTAAATACAAGTCTGGATAAGATCAATGTGATCAGTTGATGAAGAAGGTGCAAGAAGAAGAAAACAAATCTCTGCAAGGGTGACTGGAGATAGGCCAATCACTACATAAACTGTAGTGCAGTCCTTTCTGAATAACATATGAGCATTTTTAACAACTCAAGGCAGAAATACCTGAATATTAGGGCCAACACTAATGTGAAGCCTGGAATGAGGTTGAACATTGCTGTCACAAAAGTTGCTGATGTTAGCGACAAGCTTTTAGCGTATAAATAGTTGCCTAGCGTTGCTCTGCAGTCAGCACAGAAAGTAAAATTCTCAGTAAATTCTACTACTTGGAAATGAGTTTGTTCTTCAAATCTTATCAGATGCAAATCCACTTTATTAGATATAAATGGAAGGAAATCAAAAAAATCATTTTCAGAATCAATAAGGAAACCAGGCCTACTAGGACTTAGAAATGGTAATCTGGGAAATTCTTGATTACTTTGTTCTCAAATAAATCACCAAGGAACTAATGTTACATTTGCACAGAATTCTGTACTTGATCCAAATTTTTCATTGTTTTCTTGAGAAGTTCAGTGTGCATGCAAGAAGATAATGTGCTCATATTCTGCAAAAGCTTTGTGACTGTTACCCAAATAAAGCACTCAGGAATCCATCAAGAGCTATCATCCAGGTGAACCTTGGTCTACAATTTCTGTAAAATGAACATAGAGCTTATCAGTGAAGAAACTTCTTTCCTGTTTAATCTCGATTACCGTTTACAAAACGCTAAATGCTACATATTTCTGCACTACATGCACTAGACAGGGTCCTAATCTATGGAATGCATCCCATCAACTACTTTTCAACTATCACAGATGGAAAAGGAAACTTGAAATCTGTTGCCATCATGAAAACAAAGCACTTACATCAATTAGGGAAGAAAAGAGATCATTTTGTACCTCTCAGTGAAAAAAGCAATAGGAGCCATGAAAACTGTGGCAAACAGCAATTTGTAAAGGATTATAGTCTGGATACCCATACCATTAGCCATTGCAATTTTGTACATGAAATTAGAACCTGTAGATGCTACTTGAACTATGACCATCACCACTGCTGGTTTTAGCTCTTCTGAGATGAAGCATACATTCCTTGCCATTCTTTCTACCACAGCGTGCACTCCAAACAGAAATTGTTACGAAATACGAAACGAGATCAGTAAAATACTTTTCATCTTTTTCTAAGCCTACTTATTGGCTCCAGCTGTTTTTATCTATCAAGAAACGTACAAATATGATCTCTGCAACTAGGATATAGGTGGCAAATGCAAAAGGTAGACTTTAACATAATGATCAAAAGTCCTCATTTCGGATAACTTGGATGAAAAAGTAGAATTTCTCTAACTGATATTTACTTATTCCACTAAATATCACGCATTTACTTTTAGGCAAATTAATCACTTTCTTAAGCAAAGCAATAAGCCTAGGCAGTTGCCTTCTAATGACCCTTTTGAGTTCACTTCTCATGGTTGTTTCAAGACATCAAACGTCCATGTAAAACAAGGTGCATCAAAAATGAAATGGTAACTTCTTATTCTAGATATTTCACACAACATTTCCTCTTTTTCAAGATTCTGCGTACACGGGTCGGAACCAAGGTACTTTGTTTTTAGAAAATTATAAATAAAATACGTAGGCAATTGCAAACATTTTCACATTTCAGATGTATAGCTAGGAAAAGGCAATATTTTTACGTGGAAGTTAAAATATGCTGATAAATAGGAGTTGTAATTGCTTATATTTAGTATGTTGGTTGAGGTGTTTCAGGAAAGGTTGCTTAGCAGAACGCCTCTGGAGTGAACGTCTCATCATATAACTCAACTCCACAAATATACACTAAGTGCTAACTATAATTTAAATTAACAATTTAATAACATGCAAAATTTTAAAAGTAAATGGAAATTAAGATTGTTCATTATCTGCAGATTCATGTAGAGGTAATCGCAGCATTAGTCTTACGTCCATCAAAAACCAGGCGCAGTTACGATCCCACTTATTCAGAGAGAGCCAAAGTCTATAATTCTAATGGGTAGCTGATAACTCGTTCGTGTATTATCAATTTTGGGCACCACAAACCCGGCGAGGTGAAGTAAGATCCCTCTATTCAGCAAAAGCCCAATTCCATGATTCTACGTGCTCCAGCTGCATGGCATCCTAGTGACAATAATTCTGCTTTGCAATTTTTAAGCTTTACAAATACGAAAGGTAGGGTGAGAAATTGTGTTTTTTTTTTCCTAATAAGGGAGAGATGTAATTTAAGAAACGAAAAGAAAAAATGAAGATTAGAACCCAAAACTTTTGTATCTTGAAGTCTAACTTTAGCCACTAGACTAACGCTTCTTCATTGGAAGGGTAAGGGATTGAGTGGTACCAAGCATACCAAATTGATGCCTTGACTATTTACATGTTTGTTCCTACTTAGAAATTTGTCGATGGATATTTCACTATGAATTTGCATTTTGCTCATAGTAATTAATGCTGTTTTCCTAAATAACCTACATAATGATTTAATTATGTGCAAGAACAAAAATAATGGCAAGTAGTTTAAATTAAGGTAATTATTATTTACCATCCCATGATTTTGTCTTTTACGACATAATCCCGGCCAGTACTGGTCAATAATATTCATTTAATTCCAGTGTGGTTTGGTGCAAGGTCGAAAATACGAAAAGCAATCACGGTTGTTAAGGTTTCAGTTATATCCTCACTTAAATATACTAACACAATTAGGATCTAATCACTTTACCTAAAATGATAGGGGAATTATACGGTCAAATGCAAAATTGTAAGGGAATAAGTGGATATTTCACATTTTAGCTCTTCCCCATTTTATGCTTCCCTATTAAAAAGGGTGAAGTAGCAATCGAAAGAAGGATCCCTCAACCAAACCAAATTCTTCAAGCTATCTTTCGTTTTTGTTTTGACCTTGTTCAAGAAAATTTTCATTTCACTAACTTATTCAGGTTCTTCCTATCGGAATAAGGGGCTCAACTACGCTGTCCGGTCAATGGTCTAGATATAACCGACGAGTCTTTCCAGTTCGATCTTGGACCATTGATAGCTAGGCTGGTTGTTGAATCCTTTAAATCCTAACTAAAAAGGTAGTTCATTCTACTGTAATTCCGGATTCTTCAATTTACTAAATCATACGACGTTAAAAAGCAATCTCTAACTTGTTTAGAGATTATCTTGGTCTAGATATAATCGATTATTTTAGTTCGATCTTGGGTCATTGACAATTGGACCGGTTAGTGGATTCTTCAAACCCTAACTAAAAAGGTAATCCGTTCTAATGTAATTTTGGATTTTTCAATTTACCAAAATCATACAACGCTCAAAAAGGCAATCTTTAACTTGTTTTTTTATCTTGTGCACACTGGCTATAATTCACATCAAATGGGAATCAAATACTAAAAGGATGGCTGAGAGGTTATAATTCACATCAAATGGGAATTAAGTACTAATAAGAGTAAAGGATGCTCGACGAGACATTGGTCCAGTGGTTAAAGTTCAAATCTCAAGAATTAAATGTTCTATATTCAAATCTCCCGCCTCGCTCCTCACTTCTTGAGTTCCATCATTCCCTTAGAAAAAATTTTTAAAAAGAATACTAATACGACATAATGCTTCTTAAAGGTTCTTCGTTTTATAGTATAACTACATAAAAGAAAAATTTTATAGTATAACTATACTTGCACAAATTACGTAAATATATTTGAACTAATTAGAAATATTTGATTGGAAGAATATCTGTGGTTAATTTAACATTCTTGATTAACCTTATGCTCGTTCAAAAATAAGCTTTACTTGAAAGTTATATTATGCCAATGAATATGATTTGGAAAGTTAAAGGTTCACCAAATACGAATTTTGATAGGGTAGATCGCTCTAATTCAAGAAAAAGCGAAGAAAATTTTGTGAAAAAAATTCATTTATCATTTATAACATATTGGATAAATAACTTCAATTGTCCCTCAACTTTTACCAATGGTATTATTTGGTCTTTCGGCTTTTAAAAGTATCTTTTTGGTCCTTAAACTTTGAATTTGGTTTTAATTAGTTTTTTTTTTTTTTTTTTTTTTTTTGTAAGTGGGGAAGGGATGGATTATAATTAGTTCCCAAGGCCAAATCTAATTAATATATTTTTACTACTAAGATTTAATTTAAAATTAGGTTGGCCCATTCAAAGTTATAGAGTGATCAAATTTCTCCACATTACTAACGAATTTATCTATCTAAAAACAAAGAGCAAACAACGAAGAAAAATGGAACAAATCAAAATAAGGAAATTCCTATTTAATTTTATTATTTGTCATCTTTTGCTTGTTGAAATTTGTTATATTCTCTGTGGCATTATTAAACAATGAATTGATAAAAAGTACAAAAAAATATCTCTCTTTTATTAATTTCCCTTGAAAATAATCAAATTCATGTTGAATTAGTTTTATGTTTCTATATGTTGCTTTCGATTTATTACATTTGAAATCAACTATTCATGATGATAGTTATAGTGACAACTAGGGAAAAAAAAAGGCACCAAAAATTTGCAAAGATTAGGTAATACTGAGCTGGTTATCAATAAAAGAACAAATATGATTGAGAAAGTTTGACTCGCGTGAGAGACACAAATATAAAAGCGCCAATAACGCTGTCAATTGAAAAAAAAAAAGTATATTCAATAATAATAAATCGAAAACATACAATTTTAGTTGTTTGAGATCCCTGAAATTAGAGGTCATGAATTCAAATCCCCTTCTTAAACCCCACCCTTGCCTCGCTAAAAGAAAAGTTTTCTGTATATATATATATATATATATGTATGTATGTATGTATGTATATATGTATGTATGTATACACCTTGTACAATCATATAAGTTTTCTTTTATTATAGTTTCATTTAATATTTTGCATCCTAGAACCTAATATCTTTGTATATCTTGTATGGTTATCTATGACATCTAGGGACAAAACCAGATAATATACTCTGACGAAGCTATTTTTATACACATGCAAACTTTGCAGTCAAGACATGAGTTTTTGGAAGTTTTTTTTGGTCTTGAGGGAGGGGGAGTTCAATTCATAAAGAACACTGTTGAAAATTTTCAAAACTTAAAGGGGAAAAACATATGATTGGGAAGGACTTTGGTTTGGTGGGCGGTTTTCATAGTAGATGTGCGATAATTTGCGTCTTCCAACGTCCAACCTACCTATTGCACTTTTTCCTTCCACACCTGTCTACTATTTGGTAACCAATCCATTAGGGAATAGGGAGTCCATTTCGAAGTTTACTAGGCCAGGAGTTCCCATTCCCTAGTTTCCCGCTGGAGAATAAGATAGAAGTAAAAGAAAAGAGACGGAGTGATGGACCCTATATCCACGCTGCAGCATCGCTTTGGCGAAACAGCAGCTCAATAGTCTCCCTTCACACGCAATACTATACTGCTAGGACTAAAATTTTCTCGTTTCTTTCACGTCTAACAACTCTCTTTCCCAAATCTCCTGTTATCTTGGAGAGGAAATGCAAGTGATACCCAGATGGAGAAGTATATTGATTTTGAGGAATTCAGTGATTCAGTCAACAGCAATTGCATCAACATCAAGAACCCAGCTGGCTGATTTTCATTCTACAACAGTTAGCCTTGAGAGATGGAACAACAAATGGCCTTCTGCCGGTAAAAAGACCCCTGTGAGTATATTTCTTTAGCACCCAGAATATAAGAATCCCATTTCATATATGAGGAAAGCCCTGTTCGTTTTTCATGTTCAGAATCAAAACTTTGCTTCTTGTTATCTGATTACTTACTAATGATGGTTCTTAGCTTAGGTGGTGATGTGCTAAGATATCTTGGTTGCTTGAATATTGGAATTTTGTTGAATGTGTGCTGTTGTATTGTACATATGGAATGACAGTTATGTTGTGGTGGTAAATTGTCTTTTTTGGACTAGAACCATAAAAGGGGATGAAGGTCTCAAAATAGATTTTCAATTTTACATGTTAAAGTCTGAAATCTAGAGGTGCCAACTTGCATGGTGTAATGGCCAATTTTAGGTGACACTGGATGCTGCTTAGTTGTTTGAATCAATTTCAGTGGCCTGAGTA